TTAATTATTATTGATATATCTATTTATTATATAAATATTATAAAAATCTATATTTATTATATAAATAATAATAAAAATCAGCTCTAAAATAATGTTTGTGTTATTGATTAAAAATAAAACATAATTTGTTAACATACACAACAAAAAAAAAGAATAGTAGAATATTCTTTAATTATTATAAACCCTAACCTAATCAAAATTTAAGAAAATATTATTTAACTCATTTTAAGTTAAATACTTAAATAATATTTAATTGAATATTATTAATTATAAAAATTACAAAAATACTTTTTTAATATTATAAATTTCTATAATGTGAATTCTTACAATGTACCAAAAATATTGTCATTATTATTTTATTATATTATACGATTCTTCATATAACATGTATATGTTTTTTCTTAAATCAATAATGTATATAATTTTTTATTTATTTTTTTAAAAAACTATTCTACTTGCTAAATTATTTTTTTAATAAAAAATTTGAATAAAAATAAAACATAAATATTTGACATAATTATTCCGAATATGTTTTTTTACATTATTTGTGTTATAAAGAAAATTCTAATATAAAAGAATTTTCTACAATGCATAATATATTAACTGCATTATAATACAACGGAAATTTACTTATATATGAAACTAATTTTAAATATAAGGAAATATTATTTATGACAATATTTAATATATTTTAAGATTGTTAGAATTTGTGAAATATATTTTTTTTAAATAATTATCAAAGTTTTATATACATACAGTACTAAAAATAAAGAAGTACTAAAAATTTAAATTATTTTAAATTTTCATTGCTATATTATATTATGATCAATATTATTGTATTTATTATTATTAATTCTATTGAGTTTATATATGTAAAAATGCGATATCTTATATATTTATATATAAATTGGGTGTTACTAAATACGATCGCTGTTTTGATTTTGTTTTATCTGTTCCCCTATTCGAACCGCAATACGATGCAATATAGTAAGCTCAGCGAATAAAGATATCGGCCATATCTATATAGTTTATTCCTATTTTTTTTTATTAAATATATTTATTTTTTACTGTATATTCTTTATTTTAATCAAATCATCTCACAATCTATTCTCTAAAAAATCATTTTTACTAATACTATTTTTTGTCTTTATTCTAAATTATTAAATCAGAATATTTACCTTAGAAAATAAAAAATATTAGATTTGTTAATAGTAAAATTAGACTTCACTATAATTATTTTCAATTTTTAATACAATTCATTCAAAATATATGTTTTACTGATCAACATTAATTTATAATATTAATATTTCCTAACTATGGTTAATAATATAATTGATTTTGTGAATCTTTCAGAATCGGCTGATTTTGCATATGTCAGTTAAGATTCTTTTAATATTAATTCAAAGTTCAAATCGGAGAAATAAAATGAATCAAATTCATTTGACTATAATTAACATTTGACTATTTAATAGAGCTTATTATACAAGATAGAAGATTTTAATTCGAATATACACAAGATTAAGATTATTCTGAATTATTTTATCGAAAAGATTCCACGCAAGTTATATTCGAAACGAATATCGATTATGTTCTATAAATTTGAAAGTATTTGGAGCGAATATTCCGACTATTCTAAATGTTTTAAGACAAGTCTATAAGTTTTTATGAATTTATTATATTCCACTATATTTTATATTCTGTTCTGATATTCTAATTATTTATTATACACAAATTATATTTATTCGTTCAGAATTCGGATCTTTTTCGAAATTATAAAAAGTCAGAAGGGGGACCCGAGAGGGTAAACTCATCTCTTGGGAAATGATCAATTTCGAATAATTTTATTTTTTCAAGTGCAATATGTCTGGGAAGGGAAGAACAAGTTTCATAGTGGACGATAAGATAATTTTTCCTAAACTTAGATTTCTAGAATTATCAATAGTAATTACCAGAGTTCATGAATCTCAAAACAATGATTTTATATATAATAACATATTAACATATTTGCTCGTTCATAAATTAGAAAACTTTCTAACTTTTTAAATGCTTAAAGTTAAATTTCTAAAAACTACAAAATTCTAAGAAATATATTTGATACCATAAAGTTACACATTGTTTAGCCTAACATATTACACTTATCTAACTAAAGGAAAAATAAATATTTTATTTAATAACGAAAATCAAATTTAATTCAAATGCATAGCATTTTCCAGTGATTTAAATATTAAATAATATGAAATAATATTTTTTAAATAATATTTATTAATAGATATTAATATAATAATATATATATATATATATATATTAGAATAATATTTATAATATA